GGTGAGGTGGGTGGGACCCCCAAAGTTTTGGATGAATGTTTTATATCTTCCGAAATATATTGGATTATGAGTTTCACATATATGTTTCACTTTGTCGATGCCCGGTGTTTTGCACAAAGGGAAATAAAGTTTATCGTCATTCCACGATGGTCTTTTGTGATCTATTGACCGCCATGTGTAGACGCCAATGAACATTGTTTTTCTTCCGTTGCAATCGAAACATCTTCCAAGAGCATGGAGCGGAACATTGGAAAACCGCACCACCAACATGGCTAATAATCATGCCTCGCACAACCGTCAAAAAACGCAACAACACAACTGTTGGGTACGCTCCGGATTGGTGTTTTGATGGTGATCTATCGACACGCTTCGTTGTTGAAGGGCTCGATGTTGTGCTAATCACTTGTTTTTGCATTGCCAAAGCAAGTAAAGTACGTTTGGTTCTTGCTGTTTCGCATTGTTTACTTCCAAAGCGAGCGCTTCTAACTGGGCTGGATCTCGTGACTCTTCGGCAAGAGGGCTTCAAAGCTGGAGGCGAAGGATGGGCCGCAGCACGTCGAACCAACTCGGGCTCGTGGGGAGCCCAAGCATACGAGACAGAAGATAGCTCCACACACTTTCGCCTGGGGCGGCGAGACGTAAAATGGCGGATCAGAGCAAAGCTAGCCATGCATCGCTTGCAAGCATTAACAATTTCATGCTGACAGATGGTCATGAGAACGACGTCCCAATGTCCGCCAGTGGTCTGCAAAAAGATTTTTTGTTTTTGAGAGGCTCTTTGCTTTTGCTTGTTCGTTTGTCGGTTTATGTGCCGTGGCCGCAGATCCAGAAAACGAAAACACTGCACCTCTTCAAGCGTGAGCAAGGCAGGCTCCTTTCGCAACGTTCGGCGAAAACCATCTTCCGAGCGTTTACGATCTGATTGATGCGGGCGGGCCTGCCTTGTTGCTTGAGGCTCTTGCAGGTATGTAAATGCAGAGACGTGCGCAAACTGCCCATGACATCTTGTGTAAACTACCTTCAATAATTTCCTGCCTTCTTTGGTTAGAAGCGACGGGATGTTCAGGTGAGGAAGCTTTTGCCCATTCTTGCGAAGAAGTTTTGATGCGAGATTGTCCGAGTGTGTGAATGTGCCAGTTTCCTCCTCCTCACAGGCACGTGTGTTTGGTAAAGAGTTCCTCAATGGACAAGTCTGGCAAAAAGGAAGCTTGCAAAGCGCCTTTTCCGAACAGCTTCTCAGTACAGGGTATTCTTCTAAACGAGCCTGGCGCTTTGTCGGAAACACTGCATCACTGAAACCACACATTCATTTCACATGGACAAGGACGGTGAGTTTGGAGCCCACAGTGCATGCAGTGCATGAGCATTGTTTCACGGAATGAGCCGGGCACACACTTTGTTCTAGACGCCGGCATGGGGTGGGGAACCGCACTGCCGCACCGTCTCTGCTCAGCAAAGTCGCAGACCCTTTTCACCGCTGCGAGTCGGCGAGCCGTCGTGCCGTCGTGGACCAATGCACCAAACAGAGGCTCGTTCCGATGCTTTTGCTCATGCAAGCTTCGCACGCAAGATCTACTGCCGGCTTTCAAGGGACATTTAGCGTAAGTTGGTGCAGACAGGTTGCATTCGGCGATCCTGATTTGAATGACGACCAGATCAGAGCTGCAGCTTTGGAAGGCTTCTGTGCTGATTGAGCCTGCTGGTGGGCGTGCTTAGAACACACAGCCACGTTATGACATCCGCAAGCCTTATACACACAGTCATGTTGTTCTGTTATCGCTATAATGCACTAGACTCTTCTGAGTGGCTCGTACTTGGAAGATGTACATTCTGCGGGAGGCTTTGACATTTATGAGGAGGACGATGTAAAGGAGGATGACGAGGAAGTTGAACAGAAAGAGCTGATTGGAGATGCCGAGCTCTTGACACTTACTCAACGCGATTCACTGTACAAGTTGGATGAAGCCGGTAGCACGCTTGGAATTGCGCTTGTGCTGACTTTGTGCAGTCTGTCTCGCGGAGAGCAGAGTCTTGCTTGATTTCGAAAGCTCAGGCAAATATGCCGTATTGAAGATCAAGCGGGTAAGTCTGAGCTTCAGCGGAGCCTCTGTCTTTTTCCTGACTCCTCTGCGGGACGGTCGTCCAATGCCTGCTTCAGTATTGAAATTCGACTCCAAAGAGTGTTGCCTGGAAAGCACTAGTTCGCAGACTGTCTTGGGACGTCCTAAGTAGTGCAGCCAGAGCCTCAGCATCGAAGGTGTCGAAGATGAGATTCTTGGCTGTTCTGCACTTCTGTGCATATGTCATGCGAAGACGAGCTTTTAGCTTCGGCTTCGGCAGTTCTGACCCGGTGAGGATGGCTAAGACGGAAAAGTACAGGACGCTTTTCGGCTCAACAACGCCGAAGGCCCGGGCGGGTTGCGTGGACTGGACATCGATTTTTTTGTGAGCACGGTGACTTGCCTTCAGGTGAAGGACTATTTCTTGGTCGACTCGAAGGATCCGTCGTCCGTGATGCAGATTGACCTTTGTGGCGGTGTTTTCGGTCTCCCTGAGTTTGCCAAAGCACCGCCCGTGCATACTTTTGCTTCCATTTTGGAAGCCGAGCTCAAGGAGGCCCGACGGCCCGACCAAAGGTTTGTCCGAAATCAAAGCGAGTCTCGAGCCTGAGAGCCAGGTCACCCTGAACGTGGACGTCGTCCCTATAATCAACGAGGCACTGGAGAGGCGTATGTACCACTTCACGATGCGGGACTCTGAGAGATGGCCGATCTTTCCGAATGCCTGTCTTGACAGGGACTCAACCGAGGTCTGAGCGCAAAATCAGTTCGCTGTCATTGGCAGACTCCTACAAGATCGTGCGGTTTGTGGGCCACGGAATCCTGAATCGTGCCAAGGAGCAGCTTCTCCGTGTTGGCAGTCATCACGCACTCTATGCAACCTCACATGGCAAGCTCTGGCGTAGCCTTGTAGATGTTTATCTGACACTACAGCAAGGAGGGAGCAAAGCGTGCAGCGAAGTCCGCGGCTTTGGCGGCTGGATTCCAGAATCCTGTTGAGATAGACGACTTGGACCCAGACGGTAAGATCATCCAAGAGCTTTGTGGCAGGAGACTGCAACGTTAACTTGAGAGTGACACATCTTGAGATCAACCTTCGGGGAGTCGGGGCACTTTGGGGGGGGAGCCTGCAGGAAGCAGACGGTGCGTGATCTCTTTGAGAAGTTCTCAAACATGGAAGCCAAGCTTTCAGAGCACTTCAAGAGAGAAGTTGTCGTCGGTATCTCGGCGGCAAACCTGTCGGTCTGCATGACAAAAGAACAGTTCGAAAGTTATTGCGGTTCTGTCCATAATATGCACCGACACGCCGATGCTATCCTAAACTGTAGACACTGTGTGGCATTACTGTCAGGGCTGGTTTATTATGAGATAACTGGCCATGAAACTAGTAATGGGAAGTGAAAACTGCCAGAAAGGATACTGTTCGTACACTTTGGTACTGCATCACGGCTTGTGTTTTTCTGCTTGTGGCTGTATCGCATGCAGCGTATCCGAACCGGAAAGTCAGCTGCACAGACCTCACGCCAGAGCTCAAGCAGCGGTGATTGCAGCATGAAATGTTCAACATTAAGCCTCCGAGGTATTTAAGCAATCTTCGTTTGCCCAATGCTGTTTCAGTTTGGTTTTCGTGGCCGTAAGGCCTATGTCACAACGATCTGCACGGTGGAAACCTTCTCGTGGACTCACAGGGCCTGGTGTGGCTGATCGACTTTGCCACAGTGTCTTGAAGCAACCCTTGTGCAGCATGACAATGCCACTGGACGTCACACTTTCGCTTAAGTGAGTTTCCAGTAGTGCATTCTGACGGACGACTCCTCAGGTGGAAGCAGGCAAGCACGTGCTGATGGACTTATCAAAGTTCCTTTCAGCATGTGCCTTTATGTACTTGCAAGACTCCGTCAACGAAGAGCATGTCCAATCCATTGCCAAGATCCTGTGCATGACACCCGATGCCACAACAGATTTGCCCGTGGCTCTGATGGATGCGGTGAGGGAAGACCCTGTAGCAAAGCTGTTCTTTCAAATACTCGTGAGAATTCGTCACTCCATGTGCTTGTTCGAAAGCGGTCCTGGCTCGCCGAGAAACGAAGCTTGGAGGCAAAAGTTGTCGAAGGCTCAAGACTCTGAGATGCCCCCAACCTGCACAAGCTTTGCAAATTCAGGACGGCACCCCGTTTGCTATAGCTCTCTTCGCATGGTCAGCTCGCATGCAGAGCTACAGCGAGCCGTCCTTGCACCAGAAGACACGGGCGTTGCATCTGGGTCAGAAGTTTGCTGGACCCGTGGATTTCGTGCGTCTAAGCCCAGCGCTCCCTGTTTGTTGGGTGGCGGGGCAATTTTGGAAGGAAGGAAGGAAGCTCGCAAGATAGTCAGGAAGATAGAAGACAGCTAAGTTTAAGAAGGAAGGAAGGCAGAAGCACGGCACACCAGCAAAAATAGCAGCACTGACAACGAGAAGTACAGCAGCAACAACCTCACAAAAGCAGCAACAGCAACAGCAACAGCGACAGCGACAGCGGCAGCGACAGCAGCAGCAGCAGCAGCAGCAGCAGCAGCAGCAGCAGCAGCAGCAGCAGCAACAGCAGCAGCACCAGCACCTGCACCAGCACCAGAAACAGCAACAGCAACACCAACACCAACAGCTACAGCCGGCAACAGCATCAAGAAGGAGAAGTATTGCAGCAACACATACAATGACTAGCACCGCAACAGCAACAAGTACTTCCACCACCACTTCAACAACAACAACAACAACTACTACTACTACTACTACTACGACTACTACTACTACTACTACGAGTAGCAGTAGTAGTAGTAGTAGTAGTAGTAGTAGCAGTAGTAGTAGCAGTAGTAGTAGCAGCAGTAGCAGCACTCCTGCTGCTGCTGTCACTACCACTACTGCCACTACCACTACTACTACTACTACTACTGCTACTACTACTACTACTACTACTACTACTACTACTTCTACTGCTACTACTACTACTACTACTACTACTACTACTCTACGACTAGTACTACCACTACTACTATGAACGGCCCGGTGTCCATTTGGATGAATGCCTTGCCAACCAACGTATATGAGCTGTGTGTTCCACCTTTTTGGCATTGCCATGCAGGCCACAAGGGAGCCTTGGTATTGTCATACAGACCACGTGCTCGACATTGCTTAGCTTGGCTGCATTGCAACCCTATGGCTCAAGACTGTGTAATCGGAACTCTCGGTGTGTTACTTGAAATACGTCAAGTCAGTTCCCACTGCAAAGACTCGTGCGCCTGAGAGCATTGGAGTCAAAAGGCCGGAGCGAGTGAGGGTTGTGCGGTGCTCATGGAGATCAATACAGCTGAGTGTGGAATGTGTGCACAACAACGTATTCTACATCAACAAGCTCGCGATGTGGCATAATCGAAAAAGCCCAAGCGATTGGACTGTTGTCCATTGACGATAGCACTATGGAGGAAGAAGAGGGCAAGCAGTCAGACAGTGTGCCATGTGCACCGACGCGGAAGTCAAGATCATCAGCGAGATCAGCTATGGCTATATCATCACGGCCAGCCTCGTCATGGGCGACTTCCGGATCAAGGAATCTGCAACTCAAAGCAGGAATGGTGAAGACAGAGAAGGAAGTGGTTGAGATGAGCAGTCGATGCTTCAGACTCCGTGCCGAAGAATCGTCATTGGCAGCCTCATCTCGCGTCATGGCCGCAAATGCCCAGCAGGCGCAGGTCATGTACCGTAAAGTCATCGCTCAAGGGAGGAAGGCGGCTGCAAGCACGCAATCTCTTCTCGCCATGAAGCGGCAAGATACAAATGGGGAGTTGGAGCAACGTATGGAGAGGCAGCACATGTCGTTGCCGAGCATACATGAGGAATTGCATTCTCTACGACACCAGCGTCGACTACATGAAGATCTGCAGATCAGGACTAGATCTGAACTCGAAGCGGCAAGACAACCTTTCCAGGGTCTTATGACTCTCTGACCAACGTCGACGAGAACCTCTGAGACGAGTTGGGAGCATGTAGTTAAGGCATGGTAGGACTTTCCAATGAGTTATGAACTGCGGTCCCCTGAGATGCATACTCCAAGGCAGCGTAGTACAACAAGGAGAAGGCGCCAGGGATACGATTGTTCCAGTTTTATGGCCAAGGACCCGCTCCTTCTACATCTCTTCATCAAGGACCTCGGTTGCTGATCCACTTTAACAACAGCCACGGCAACCGGCGGCGCCAGTCGGCATCATAGAGTCAGCGACGTACGCAGGCATTCGACCAGAAGCTCGAGGAAATGACAAGGACAGTTATCAGTCTGCCATCATATTCATCATCATCGCAACCTAGCAGAACCGGGGCAGGGATCCAACGGAAACTCCCAACCTAAAGGTCTGCCAATGCTGCGACGCAGAGCAATGGTCATGACGCGGTGCAGAGATTCTCAAGGTGTCCAATGTTCAAGGTGGATAACGCAAGTCTTTTTTCGAAGGAAATGCATCTCCGTCTCCATCTACAGGTCAACTGCAATGGAGTATTGGGAACAACAGTGGCGCTGTTGATCGCGCGCCTCAAGATCGAACTCGAGGAGCCCAAGTAGAACGAGCAACGTTTTCGAACCGATCGAGACGAGTGGCGCGACATGGCAGAACAGTTACACGATGCAGCGAACGGTGAAGGCAATGGCGGAGCCGGACCAGATCCTGGTAGTGACGCACGCAGTGTATCCCCATCCGATGCACCTACCAACCTAGGGACAAGGCGTTCGGGCAGTGGAGGCGGAAAAGGTGGGTATGGCGGTGGCGGACAGGTGATCCAGACGGTGGTGGTGATCCCGAAGTAAACGAAGAGAAGAATTAAGACGTAACGCGGACAAGGTTGTGTGGTACTTCCACGTCTGAAGGTTACGCATCTTTGAGAACTGAGAACCGGAAGTCGCAAGCCACAGCAAACGTGCTCGTGAACAAACTGCAGATCTCTACTTGGACGTGCGCATCAAAGCAAATGGATACATGAGAGGTCGGAAGGAAAGATCAACAAAGGACGTGAGATTGTAGAGGTGAGGTATGCAAGCTTTCACTTCCGTGATCGTCTGGACATGACCTTGACTTTGGATTTCCTGAAAGATTCAGCGCCCAGGAGACGCGAAGCTCAACCAGTTCAAGCAAGCATGGTTGGAGATGGTATCACGACTGCGTCCTGAAGTGGTGTTCCTTGCGAGACAGCACTGAGCTGTGCAGCTGCGTCAAAGATTCGCCAGCGATGAGGTCGGAACTCTCAACTCACTGGAGCATTCTGCAATATGATGATTCCGCAAAGGTCGAACAAGAATCTTCTCAATGTCATCGACCTCGCGATCGTGCGAAAGCGCGAGCAGGCCAATCTCGCGGCACCCACGATCGGAGCAAAACAACGTTCGCCGATGCTGCCCTCTGTTCTGGACGCTGAAATGATAGCTGCCACTAACCCATGAACACAAGCTCGATCATCGCGGGAGAACTTGTTCACGAAACCCTTCACTCTTCAGGGAGACAACGTAGATACCGGGACAACATCGTCTACATCAGATGGGGCGATCGAGCATTGTGCTTTTGAAAACAAAACGTTTCTTTGCAAATCGAGCGCTTCGTTTCCAGAAGGGGCGAACAACCAACAATCGTATTGCTCGACCTTCAAGTGAGCAGAAATCACCCTCCAGCAAGAATTTGCAAAAATGTTCTCCAGGCTTGTATCTTACAAGGGTTCTCGCTCTGCATCCAGCGTCTGGTCAGCGAGATCCTTGTCCGGTGAAAACAGGGTCCCGGAAGCTTCTTGTCTGACATTTTGTCATCGACATCCACTCATCGATCTCCTTCAATTCCAGGTCAAGGTTGTCCTTCAACCCGTCAAGGATTGCACTCACGCGGTCTTATTCGGCCTTCATCATTGGTAATTCTTATCAGGGACCACGACCACTTCAGTTTAATATGGGAACCTGCGCTTCCTGGGATCGCAGCGTTCATCGAGAGATACACGTACGCGAACTCCTTCATATCCTGCACTTTGTACTTCCGTGACCATGATTGTCCTGATGTCAGCACATAACCCGCAAATATGCCCGGTATCCCTTTTGAGTCAAGCGGTTGTCTTGAAGAACACCTTTGCTCCGAAAAGTATGGCCTTTCCTTTCAAGGATTCACCTGTCATTCTCTTCCATGCTGAGTCACCGCCCCCGTCAACATTTTCGATTTTCAGGTTGCGGGTCACGCGATTCAAGGCACAGGGCCTATATCGCACTGGTAATCCTGCACGTAGTAGAGATGTTGCGACAGCGTTGATCACAGTGGTCCGTTCCGCCAGAGAGTTGTTCTTGGGTAAACCAGCTTCGTCACGCAGCTGGCGCAAGAGGATTCCAGGCTCGACAATTTTCAATAGCTGGCGCTGCAGGCGCAGCTTGCTTTGCCCTTCGGTCCTTCTTCGCTTCAGCCTTAGCATCTGCGTGCGGCTTAGCCTTCGATTTGGCCTTAGGGCCTTAGACTCAGGCGCGGCAGTGGCCGCTGCGTCACACTTGCATGGACAAGTACCCCTGCAGCATGCGCGCCATTCTTCCTGAACTCAAAGCACACTGCGGTCGAAGAATCTGAAGAAGGACTTGGTTGCCGCGCACTCTCTGGTGACCTATCACGAACGAGCCTCAGGGGTCTTCTTCGAACGACTGTATGGACGTTTGTCAACACTGCGAAGACCCCCTTCTGAAAGAGGGATTCTGCGCCGTACGCTTCTCTTTGATTTGGGATCAGGGACTTCGGGAACACGGTTCTCGCCTGGAAACTGTCACTAGCGCTACCCTCGCTGTCCTCTTCCCCTCCCTTCGGCCAGCAAACTCGGCACACATGCGAACAATCAATCCGGCTGGGAGGAGAAGTCCCGGCAATCCAGCATCCGGCTTCCCCGCCCGTATGTGTAGCCGGTACTTCTTACCTGGTAGCTCAACGACCACATACTGAGTACATCTAGCCCTCTTCAGCATCTGCCTCGGGCGGTGCTTATGCAACGCTGAACCTATTGGAGCAGGGGTAGCTGTCTCAACAGCTTTGGTCTGGGCTGGTGCTGCCAGTCGATCTTTGCCACCCAGCATCTGCCGCAGACACGTATGTGTTCCAGACGTTTGCAGGGGTAATACACTAACGCACTAACCCGTAAGAAGAGGACGGCAGTCGCAGAGCATGTTTCGACGTTGCAAGACACAGCTGACCGTGATGACGCAGGAAGTGCCAGTTAGAAGT